CCTATTACAAAGGCCAACCACCCTGTTAGAAAAATAAAACTGTCTTAGCTGAAGATGACTCTTACCTTGCCAAACTTTGTCCCTAGTCCTACTATTCTTGCCATTAAGTATGAAAAAAGATGATGCATCGACACTACCAATTCCCTTTACAATCTTAAATACTTCAATCAGATCCACCTAACTCTTCTTTTTTGAAGAAAAAAACAATTTGAGAGATCTTAACCTCTCCTCATATGACAACCCCTTCATCCCAGGCACCATTCTAGTAACCCTCCTCTGGATCCTTTCCAACAATTCATTGTCTTTCCTAAGGTAAGGAGCCCAAGATTGAACACGATACTCCAAATGTTGCCTAACCAGTGACCTGTACAATGAAATTATAATCTCTTTAAACTTGTATTCAATATCTCTGTAGATATAATCTAAAATCCTATTTTCTCTACCACTAGCAACAGTACACTGCTTGGATGGCTTAAGAGATTGATCAACTATTACACCAAGATCCCTTTCCTTCATGACACTGTTAGGTTATACCCATCAAGTTATACTTATAATTCAAATTATGATAACCCACATGCATTTATTTTCCCAACTCGCTAAATGATCTAAATCCTTTTGTAAATCAGCAGCATCCTCTTCACAGCTAGCAACACCCAAGACCTTAATATCATCTGCAAATTTAAGTAACTTATTGGCTATTCCTTCATCTATGTCATTGATGTAAATCAAAAAGAGCAAAGGTCCTAAGACTGAGCCCTGAGGTACCACACTTGTGACATTAATCCAGTTTGATTGAACTCCATTTGTAACAACCCTCTGCTCTCTTCCATCCAACCACTCTTCTATCCAATTTGCTAACTACCTACACACCTACAGAGATGATTATTTTACAAACCTTTTATGTGGCAGATACACCAAATCTAAACCCTTACCCTCATCTACATAAGCAGTAACCTTTTCAAAGCATGTTAAAAGATTTGTAAGGCAAGATTTTCCCTTAGTGAATCCATGTTTACTATCCAATAAAATTAAAAATATTGTTAAATGACTTTATAGAGCATCTTGCATCAGACTTTCCAAAACTCTTCCCCCAACTGATGTAAGAATAATAGGCCTATAATTACTATGACAATTTTTATCACCTCCCTTTAAAGGAGGAGTTACATTAGCTAATTTCCAGCCCTCTGGTACCTGCCTACTATTCAAGGACTTACAAAAAAATAGTAGCAAGTGGCTCACGTATCCAATCTTTAACCTAATAGAGCTACGATAAGCTGGTCATGTGTCTTTAAAGGGAATAGTGTCATGTACAGTGGAGAAGTCTTGTTGAATTTGGTGATGGCTTGACCGGAAAGTTGTAAAAATACACCTGTTAAGGTTTTGATATGAAGGAAAGGCAAAGCGAAGTCGCTGATCTCCCCTACAATTTTTCAGTTGAAGGATTTTGTTAACCCCTATGGAGTTTAGTTGTAACAACTTAGCTGGTGCATAAACAGACCAATGTTTTCTATTAGATTTTTCATGTTTTTCTGTCAATCTACTATATTACTTCATTATGTGAAACAAGTGTTCAAAGTAAGCCCCCAATACATGATCACGGACACGGGTAACCCCACAATACATGGTAACGATTTAACCCACAACATGTGGCCACAGGTACAGATAACCCCATGGCTTGGGTCATCCAAAGTTACAGAAGCTCAAGAAGCACGTCACCTTCACGTACAGATAACCCCATGGCTTGAGTCATCCAAAGTTACAGAAACTCAAGAAGCATGTCACCTTCACGTACAGATAAACCCATGGCTTGGGTCATCCAAAGTTACAGAAGCTCAAGAAGCACGTCACCTTCACGTACAGATAACCCCATGGCTTGGGTCATCCAAAGTTACAGAAGCTCAAGAAGCACGTCACCTTCACATACAGATAACCCTATAGCTTGGGTCATCCAAGGTTACAGAAGCTCAAGAAGCACGTCACCTTCACGTACAGATAACCCCACATTAAAGATCAGTAATAATGTAGTTTGCTTGAGTTTTGGTTTTAATTTTAACTTGAGAATTTAGTTCATAATTTTCAATAAATACTGAAGTATCTTTATCTCTTGGTAGTGGTGGGCCTACGAACAAATTCCGGAGAGTATGTGGAATATTTCTTCCTGGATTTTGCAGAAAATGCTGGATAGTGGCAAGTTACGACAAGAGCAAGAAAAGGAGAAACACTCGTAGAGTACAATTCCAGCTGAGAAATTCCTAATACTTTCTTTCGTATTAAGTAACTGATATAATACTTCCTTATTTTGTGGCCGATTAAAAAAAAGAATAAATACTTATCTAAGTTTTAACAGTAGTTAACATTTGTAATTATGGGTGAAACCTTATTTCAATTAGTCACTTCACTGTAAAACTTTTTCATAAATCTTTTTTTCTAAATATATTGTTTAATTCTTTTTTGCTTTACCATTGATATAGTTTCATCTATCGATGCTCACCATTCCATAATGCATACAATGAATCTAATACACTTTCCCAATGCCATTTGTTTTTTAACTCGAAATAGTAACTTCTACATTTGACTATGAATTATCTTTTCTGGTTTTGTAACTAAAGGAAAGTAAAAATAAATAAATTCACTAATTAACATTTAAAGTTTAGAGAAAACAGCATTTATAATGTATTTGGATCTTGTGCTTTACTAAAATAGTGTGTTGGTTTGTTAATTTTATATAGTTATGTATGTCTAAAAGTCTTTACTATAAACTTTATAAGTTGAAATATCATGTATAACCTTTCAAGTCTCTATTCAGATATTTTGTTTTTCATGTACTGATGATTACAGGGTAATTTTTATTTTCAAAAGTTTTTGTATGTCTCAGAAGAAGGCACAAGTCAAATTAGAAATGAATAAATTACTTTGTTTTCTATCTGTGACAGAAGGAGCAAGTTATTTTATTTTCAACTTCCTCCACTGGGTGGTGTTGGTATGTTGCTAGATACATGTTTTAATAAAACCTTAGATTGACAGTTGTTCAGTTTTTTCATAAGTAAACCATTGAATTAATGGAAATCTAACAAATTCTTGTGTATTACTTAACGAAATAGTTTCTTTGATCTTGGAAGCAGTACATATCTTGTGAGAGAATGGTGTACTCAGTTTAAAGTTTGTTATTCTTGTGTATTACTTAATGAAATAGTTTCTTTGATCTTGGAAACAGTACGTATCTTGTGAGAGAATGGTGTACTCAGTTTGAAGTTTGTTATTCTTGTGTATTACTTAACGAAATAGTTTCTTTGATCTTGGAAACAGTACGTATCTTGTGAGAGAATAGTGTACTCAGTTTGAAGTTTGTTATTCTTGTGTATTAATTAATGAAATAGTTTTGATCTTGGAAACAGTACGTATCTTGTGAGAGAATGGTGTACTCAGTTTAAAGTTTGTTATTCTTGTGTATTAATTAATGAAATAGTTTCTTTGATCTTGGAAACAGTATGTATCTTGTGAGAGAATGGTGTACTCAGTTTGAAGTTTGTTATTCTTGTGTATAGTTTAACAAAATAGTTTCTTTGATCTTGGAAACAGTACGTATCTTGTGAGAGAATGGTGTACTCAGTTTGAAGTTTGTTATTCTTGTGTATTAATTAACAAAATAGTTTCTTTGATCTTGGAAACAGTACGTATCTTGTGAGAGAATGGTGTACTCAGTTTGAAGTTTGTTGCTCACCTAATGCTTAACAT